GTATGTATGTATGTATAAAATAATATATATATACTATATATATATATATAATTATATATATATATATATATTATGTATGTATGTATGTATGTATGTATGTATGTATGTATAAATTATGATATATTATATATATATATATATATATATATATATATATATATATATATATATATATATATATATATATACATATATATAATATGTGTATGTACACGTTGTATTGGAAACATGTGCATGTATGTGTGCCTGTGTCTTACGCGTATGTGTGCGTGTGTGCCTGCATATGCGCTTTGAATATACATGTGTTTATGTTGCTGTCAAGAACAAGATTCCTCTCTTGTCTTCGCAGAACGGGAGCGGAGGAAGGCGTCCCGGCGAGCCTTCAGATACGTCCCTCCCCGTCTCCCTGTTGAGAGAACGGGGGAACGACATGACATCTATTAATAAAGGGAGGGAGGGGAGGCGGAGGGAACGGTGCGGACGGGGGCATGAGGAAGAAAGAGAAAGAGAGAGAGGGGGGGGAGGGAGGGAGGGAGGTGAGAGAGGGAGAGGGAGGGAAGGAGGGAGGTGAGACAGAGAGAGAGAGAGAGAGCGAGGGGGTGGGAGGGAGAGAGACAGCAAAGGAGAGAGAGAAAATTAACCAGATAGACAGATCCATAGACAGACAAATATACGGATATATGACCATGTAGGACGTTTAAGAGGAAGTAAAGAATCTTGAAAAGGAAGATTTGAGGCCGAACAGAGTATGACATATACGTAAAAGAATGAGAAGTTTGGGAAGAGAAGCAGAGGCAGATAGACAGTGGAATGGAAACAAAGCAAAAAAAAAAGGGGGGAAAAGAAATTCAGACAAGGAGACGATCTTTCAAAGGGAATCACGCAGATCGAACCGTAAACAGACAGCGACGAACAGGAAGCGACAGAAAGTGAGTGCCGAAGGAGTCGCTGTGCTACTCCAGCTTGAAAGCGGCCGACGCATCCCTCAGCTTGGTTTGAACAGGGCGGAATAGCCTATTAATAATCAAGAAAAAAGAGGAATTGTTCCCTCTCTGCATTTAATTTTGTTTTATGTGTCGATTGATCAATATTTTCAAGGCTGTGTAAACGCTTCTGGGTGCCGTGACTAGCGTATTCAAACAGCAAAAGCATTTGGTATCGACTGCTGTTCCGGCCGTATTCCCTTTGGTCTATTAGGGTACATTGTATTCAGACAATGTACCATAATGTCTAGCAATGCTTCAGTTCACCAATTCGGTTTTGAAGCAGTCCATTCACCTTCACAGAATACCGTATTGATCATGTCTTTTTCCCAGGCTCCGTGAAGAAAAGTAAGGCTTTCTGGGGACCTAAGGGCAACAAAGATATCTTATCCACACAACCTGCGGGGAATCAAAGACTGAATCAATCATAGCAAACTAAAGCATGTACATCTGTTCCATGGCCACTGTAATTCCTTTGGCATATATCCTAAGCAACACTAAAAGTCTGTTTTCAAATCCGACGTTTTTTTCTGTATTCAAATGGTTCGGGAAATGATAACCAAAATCATCATTTTTATATTATTCCCATGATATTTGACCTGGAGTGTTATTTTAGGTATTACAAATCATTCAGTTTTAGTTAATATTTAAATCACCGGAGGAGTTCACGGCAGCAGAAAGCCCCCAACATATTCCAGACACATTTTATCATTAGCTAAAAGTGAAATTATTGTTGTTGGAGAGAAAGGTAGGAATACAGTGATTTTAACATGGTATACCGGTATTTTATTTACCTAAAGGTACTGAGAGCATCAATGCTATTCAGCAAGAAACATACATAGACAAAGCATAAGTAGACACACACATACACACATACACTTACACACACACACACACACACACACATACACACACATACTTACACACTCACACACACACTCTTGCCTGATCACACTGCTACCTTCCTAGAATAAGAAAAGAAATTCTGATTCTTCCTCCTGCTGCCTCCACGGCTGAAGGGTTCGGCTCGAGAAATCCTGATCAGAAGTCCGAGTCTCCAAATGCTGGTCCGGCCACGATTCCATGCTTTTGCAATGATGAAAAAAGGGATCATAAAAAAGTGAAGGTAATACTACTAGCACACTGCAAACGCCGCAAAACTTTGAACAGCGCCGTGAAAAAATAGAATTAATGCCGTCCGGACGTTGAAGGCGGGCGCCGTCGCTGGTCCTGCAGGAGACTCGGGGCCGGACTCTCGCGATTCCTTCGAACGTGATGTCGAGTCCTACTTTGCGCTCCAACAGAGACTAATAACATGTATCACAAAGACTTCAATTCTTATTTAAGAAGAATCAAAATTCAAAGTATACACACGAAGCCATACGTTACAATGTGTGTCACTCTTTCTCCCTCTCTCTCTTTCTCCCTCTCTCTCTTTCTCCCTCTCTCTCTTTCTCCCTCTCTCTCTTTCTCCTCCTCTCTTTCTCCCTCTCTCTCTTTCTACCTCTCTCTCATTCTCCCTCTCTCTCTTTCTACCTCTTCTTATCCCTCCTACCTCTTATTTCAGTTTGTGTGCATCTCTTCCCCTCATATTCTCATTGATATCATTTTCTCATTGATATCATTTTCCTTAAATAATACTTAATGTAAGAGTAACAAATAACATGACAACAAACGCTTCGTAATAGCCCAGAAAAAAAAATAAAAAATAAAATCTGTTACACAAAAGATTAGATGATGATAATACTAATGATGAAGATAATAAAGAAAATAATGAAAATTGTAATAATAATGATAGTGGTAATGATAGTAATAATAATAATGATAGTAATAATTATTATTATAACAATATTAATAATAACTAATGATGATGATAGTGATAGACGATGATAAAATAATAGTAACAATAAGGATATAAATGATAATGATAATAGTTCTAATAACAATATTAGTAATGAAAGTGATGATAACATAGATAATAGTAATAATGATAATAATGATACTGATAATGATGATAATGAAATGATGATGATAATGATAATAATATAATGACGAAAATTATGATTATGATGATGAGGATGATTATAATGATGATGATGAGATAATAATAATAATAATAATGATAATGATAATAATAATAATAATAATAATAATAATAATAATAATAATAATAATAATAATAACATTAATAATAGGAATGATAATAATGATGATAATAACAATGGTGATAATAATCACAGTAATAGTAATAACAATAATGATAATAGTAATGATAATAATATTGATGGTGCTTATAATAATGATGATGATATGATAAAACAATAATATTGATGATAATAGCAATAGTGATAATAGCAATAACAAAAACAACAACAACGGCATTAATAATGATGATAATAACAACAATAATAATAATAATGATAATCATGATTCTCTCTCTCTCTCTCTATCTATCTATCTATCTATCTATCTATCTCTTTCTCTCTCTCTCTCTTCCTTTTTTTTCTCTCTCTCTTCTCATTTCTTCGTCTCTCTCTTTCTCCGAGCATCCAAATCCTCGCTCTTAAGTTGAAGGAATGGGAGCCTCTGTGTGCACTGGGATTTGCGTGTTTTCTGTGTTTGTGTGTGTGTGTGTGTGTTTCTTCCTCGTTTTTAATTAACGTATATCTGTATCTTTGTCTCCGTTGTATAATCATTTTTTTGCGCGTGGTCGTGTTTTTATTGTGTATGTGTATTTGTGTGGGGGTATGTGTGTTTATGCGTGTGTGTCTGTGCGTGTGTGTGTGCTTCGAGATGGATTGATGTCCCTTTCTATACTAGAAATAAAACTCATTGCATGCATGTACACAATGTAATCACACGTGCATGTTCCAATTCAAATGCACACATATATAGTGCATAATACTGATCTCTCCTCTCTTCTCTCCTCTCTCTTTCTCTTTCTCTCTCTCTCTCTCTCTCTCTCTCTCTCTCTCTCTCTCTCTCTCTCTCTCTCTCTCTCTCTCTTCTCTCTCTCTCTCTCTCTCTCTCTCTCTCTCTCTCCCCCCCTTCCTGTTGCATTCGTTCCTCTCTACTTCCGTTCTCTCTTGCTTCTTCTTCCTCTTTATTATCTCTTCTTTCTCTATGTCTCACTTTTCTTTTTCTCTTTCTGCCCTTCTTTCGCTCCCTCTCAAGTCCGAGCGTCCAAGCTTATCTCTTCCAATATCTCACCGTCCCATAAAGACCATTTTCCAATCTCACTTCTCTTCCTGCTTTTTCTCCCCTCCTTTCGACTCCTTTTCACCTTCCCATAATTTTTTCGATCTTTCTTCTCCTCTTTTTCTTCCTTCTCCCTCTCGTTGTTCTTTCCTTCTTCCTCCTTGAATAATAATAATAATAATAATAGTAATAATAATAGTAACAGTAATGATAATAATAATAATAATGATGATGAAAATATTGATAAGAATGATAACGATTATGATAATGATAATGTTGATAAAAATGCTAATGACAATGATAATAAAGATAATAACAATAATAATGATGATAATGATGATAATAACGAAGACTTAAGGTGATCAGGGAAGCGCTGTGATTCGTCCGCCAGAAAGAAGGGAATGATCCATGTGACGTCAGTGACCTTTACGAGGAACATGTATAAAGAAATGTCAAGCTGCGTCCTTTTCTTTTGGGGGATCGTTTGTTTATATTGGGTGGATGGATAAATATTGTAGTCATGTTCATTACTCGTCCTGAAGAAATAGCACCGATTTTTCTTAAAACTGAAAAGGAAAACAGATCATGAATTTCAATCACTGCCACGGCGCAGAAATGGCATCCAAGGTCATCAGGTGAGGCACGTGCTCTGCTGAAACATGTATTGTCTGCACGTGTCTGCCCAGCTGTCTGTAACCCTTTCTTTTACCCTGCCCTTTTGTTTGTATACCAAGTGATTTTCTTACTTAAATTTTCCCAGCTTTTTTTATTGATCGTTCAACTTAGATTCTAAAATAACTTTTTTCACTTACAGATGTGTAGTCTAAGTCTACCCTGTACAAGCTCATCTTCCAACCCTTGACGACGACGACGACGACGACCACGCTTTCGGACACGTACTTATGATCAAACGGACGATGCGAGTTTAGAAGCAGCCTCTCCAAGAAACTTTCGGGCGTCTCGCTATTGCTGTTGTCTCGCGTGGGAAAGGAAGGAGGATTGTGGAATGAGGGCATTTACAACCAAGCGTTCCCTTAGACTGAACGCGTAAAATTCCCCCCAATACACCGCTTGTGCGTTTACGGTACTGAACTGATAATAATAACACGACAGACCCACCGTACCTCGCATGTACCGTGGGAGAGGAGTGTGAGTTACCCCGCAGCAGAAAACGATGCCCCGTGTCTGAACTCCACTCAAAGGCTTTGATTAATCGGTGTCCACGTCGAAACAAACAAGCCACAGCAAGCCCTAGACAAGCCATGAGTTCGGAAGACCTCAACGACGATGACGTGTTCCTCTCGCCTTCTGCGGACGTGCCTGTCGGAGAGCTGATGGGAGGGACCCACGTGGTGAACGGCTCGCGCCCCTCCTCGGGCTACTACTCGCGCCAGACCAGCGGCTACACGGCCAGCCAGGACACGCCCCCCACCTCAGCAGGTAGGGGTCTCTCACGCTCTCTCTCTCTCTCTCTCTCTCTCTCTCTCTCTCTCTCTCTCTCTCTCTCTCTCTCTCTCTCTCTCTCTCTCTCTCTCTCTCTCTCTCTCTCTCTCTTCTTCTCTCTCTTTCTCTCTCTCCTCTCTCTCTCACCCCACCTCAGCAGTAGGGGTCTCTCCGCTCTCTCTCTCTCTCTCTCTCTCTCTCTCTCTCTCTCTCTCTCTCTCTCTCTCTTCTCTCTCTCTCTCTCTCTCTCTCTCTCTCTCTCTCTCTCTCTCTTCTCTCTCCTCTCTCTTTTTCTCTCTCTATTTTTCTCTCTATATTTTTCTCTCTCTATTCTTCTCTCTCTATTTTTCTCTCTCTCTTTCTCTCTCTCTTTCTTTCTCTCTCTCCCTCTCTTTCTCTCTCTTTTTCTCTATCTATTTTTCTCTCTCTCTTTTTCTCTCTCTTTCTCGCTCTTTCTAACTCGTTCTTGCTGTTTTCCTTTCTTCTGATAATGATAATATTAATGATAACAATAATGATAATGATAGTAGCAATACTGATAACGATGATAACAATAATAATAATGGTGATAATGATAATGATAACTATGATAATGATATTGATGATAATGATGATAATGATGATGATGATGATGTTGAGGATGATGATGATGATAATAATAATATTGATTATGATGATGATTATGGTGATGATACTATTACTACTACTACGACTAAAATCATAATAAAAATAATAGCAATGGTAGCAAAAACAATGATGAAAATTATACTGATAAGGACGAGAACGAAAATGAGTATGATATTGATAATAATGTTGATAATAATGATAGTGATAGTGATAATCACAATAATGATAGTAATAATAATAATGATAATAATGATAATAGTAATAATGTTGATGATAGTAATGATGATAACCCTACCAACGATGATGATGATAATAATAATAATAATAATAATAATAACAATAAGGATAAGGATAATAGTAACAATAATGATA